CAGCAGGAAGAAAACTTACTCTAAAAGAATTTGAAAGAAAATTAGCAACTAAACCCAAGAGTGCTCAGTTATATTTTCAAGACATAAATGTCACAATACTACATGGCATTCTTTAGTAACTATTTAGAAACTGGATCTTCTTATTTTGCTTTTAAGAGCATAACGTGGTTTAACATTTTCCCCACTTTTTATTTATTTTTTATTATTTTTATTTTTTATTTTTTTTTATACACAATGTATTTATTTATTTATTTATGGCTGTGTTGGGTCTTCATTTCTGTGCATGGGCTTTCTCTAGTTGTGGCAAGTGGGGGTCACTCTTCATCGCGGTGCGCAGGCCTCTCACTATCGCGGCCTCTGTTGTTGCAGAGCACAGGCTCCAGACGCGCAGGCTCAGTAATTGTGGCTCAGGGGCCCAGTTGCTCCATGGCATATGGGATTTTCCCAGACCAGGGCTCGAACCTGTGTCGTCTGCATTGGCAGGCAGATTCTCAACCACTGCGCCACCAGGGAAGCCCCCCACTTTTTATGAACTCCATTTACAAATTTAAAAGCATATTATAAAATAATTTTTATTCAACCCAGACTTTCTCAAATACATCTTTTGCCTTTGGAATTTTCCAAACTATTGGACAAAATGTTCCCACTAATAGGTGAGATAGTAAGTATTTGGCCCATTTGTGTTATTATCTAGCAGCACTTTCTTAAAGTGCAGTCTATGGCCTGTCCCAGAGTCACTTATGATGCTTGTTAAAAAATACAAATTCTGGGCTTCCCTGGTGGCACAGTGGTTAAGAATCCGCCTGCCAATTCAGGAGACATGGGTTTGAGCCCTGGTCCAGGAAGATCCCACATGCTGTGGAGCAACTAAGCCCGTGTGCCACAACTACTGAGCCTGCATGCCACAACTACTAAGGCCCGCACGCCTAGAGCCTGTGCCCTGCAACAAGAGAAGCCACTGCAATGAGAAGCCCATGCACCGCAAGGAAGAGTAGCCCCCGCTCGCGGAAACTAGAGAACACCTGTGCACAGTAACAAAGACCCAATGCAGCCAAAAAAGAAAATAAATAAATAAATAAATAAATAAATTTATTTTAAAAATACAGATTCCTTGGTCCTTTCCTAATTTACTGAATCAGAGTCTCTGTTGATACAGCCCAGGAATATGTATTTTAAACAAGCAACTTGAATGTGTCTGATACATGCAAAAATTTGAGGTCCACTGGAAGGATGTCTCAGAACCTTATTTAAAGGAGGTGAAGAGTGTGAGGGAACTGCAGCTGAAGATGTCGGCCCAGAGAATTAATCAGGGGAAGCGCTTTCATTTTAAAATGAAGAAGTAGGGCAGAAAAAATTTTCAAGCTCCTTCCAGCCCTGAAATTCTGAGATTGTTTTGCCCTTTGTATATGCTCTGAACATTGCAGTCTCACTGTATTCAGGCTCTGAGAAGGCTCTCCTCTGTCTTTCATTTCATTTAATTAATTAATTAATTTAAAATACAAAGAACTCTTGCAAACACTTTATTCAGATACACTGCTTAACATTTTCTGATGCCAGGCTCCACTCCTCATTGAATTTCATGGCTCACAGTGTGAATAATACTGAAAGAGTTCAGCCCAGTCTCTCTCTCCGAGTAGATGAAGGAACAGAGGGCCAGAAAGTATACTCGACTTAACTCAAGGGGGTTGTTAACATTTCACTTCATTTGCTTTATTCTCTCCCCACCTCTTT